AGCATAACATTTTTCATTTGGGATATGAAAAGAATGTCCTATGCAAGGTCAAAGTTTGAAGACACCTAAGGGACAAACATTTAATCTCTATGATTGGGATGAAATATGCTACTCTTAACCTATCCTAAAACATATCTGAATTAAAAAAGATCGTTGTGGGAGTCAATTTATAAACGTTGCTCTTTAAATGGCCATGGACTCCTGCTCCCCATGTGTCTACTCGAAATCAAAAGAAGTGTGGTTTCTCTCATTACAGTTCCAAAATGTAAGACACCCTCGCTTCTTTTGCGTGTACTTTTACCTATGTTGACTCTTAATTTAGAACAAAATCATCAGATTTTCTTCTCCAATTACTAAATGTTTTCTCTATTTCTTTCCTTGTTCACCTTTTATCTATTTATTTTAGAAGAGCAGGAATGCATTGCATTACTTATGTAGACATGTAATCTGATTCGACTTCACAGCTTACCCTCACACGTAGGCCCAGTCCAGCCATCATTACAGATACAAGTAAAGGTGCCGTCTCCATCAATGCAAACTCCTTCATTCACACAAGGATTGCCAAAACATTCGTCGGTATCTGAGCAAATTGAGTTCCAAAGACAATGCATGGATTATAAGTATCGAGAAAATAATTTCCATTTTGACAGATTTATCTTTAAATGGCGGATAACAGGAACGTGAAATAAAAACTGATTTTTTTTAAATCAAAATAATGACAGTGAAGGAATACCTCACTTCATATATAAAAACCACTATCAACTATATCAAATGAGGTAAATTAATTGAATGCCTCAGCTAATATCCGTATATATTTCAAAATCGTAGCCTGAGATAGAAAATTTCTTCTGGTTAAAATCACATTTCCAAATAAAGGTTTATGTGCCCCTGCAAGAAAAAATGGAAAGGAAAGCATACACTCTTTCATTTGGGATGAGAAAATAATGTCAAATGCAAGGACAAAGTTTGAAGACACCTAAGGGACAAACGTTTATCCTCTATGATTGGGATGAAATATGCTACTCTTAACCTGTCCTAAAACATATCTGAATTAAAAAAGATCGTTGTGGGAATCAATTTATAAACGCTGCTCTTTAAATGACCATGGACTCCTGCTCCCCATGTGTCTACTCGAAATCAAAAGAAGTGTGGTTTCTCTCATTACAGTTCCAAAATGTAAGACACCCTCGCTTCTTTTGCGTGTACTTTTACTTATGTTGACTCTTGATTTAGAACAAAATTATAAGATTTTCTTCTCCAATTACTAAATGTTTTCTCTATTTCTTTCCTTGTTCACCTTTTATCTATTTATTTTAGAAGAGCAGGAATGCATTGCTTTACTTATGTAGACATGTAATTTGATTCGACTTCACAGCTTACCCTCACACGTAGGCCCAGTCCAGCCATCATCACAGATACAAGTAAAGGTGCTGTCTCCACCAATGCAAACTCCATTCACACAAGGAGTGAAAAAACAATCGTCGGTTTCTGTGCAAATTGAGTTCCAAAGACAATAAATGGATTATAAGTGACGAGAAGATAATTTCCATTTTGACAGATTCATTTTTATTTGGCTGATAACAGGAAAATTAAGTCAAAACTGATATTTAAATTTAAACAAATGACAGTGAAGGAATACTTTACTAATTGTTTTTACTTAAAAAATGAAAAACACTAATAATGTTATCAAATGAGGTGAATTAACTGAATGCCTCAGCTAATATTCGTATTTTTTTTCAAAATCGCTCACATTTCCTAATAAACGTTTATGTGCCCTTGCAAGAAAAAATGGAAAGGAAAGCATAACATTTTTCATTTGGGATATGAAAAGAATGTCCTATGCAAGGTCAAAGTTTGAAGACACCTAAGGGACAAACATTTAATCTCTATGATTGGGATGAAATATGCTACTCTTAACCTATCCTAAAACATATCTGAATTAAAAAAGATCGTTGGGGGAGTCAATTTATAAACGTTGCTCTTTAAATGGCCATGGACTCCTGCTCCCCATGTGTCTACTCGAAATCAAAAGAAGTGTGGTTTCTCTCATTACAGTTCCAAAATGTAAGACACCCTCGCTTCTTTTGCGTGTACTTTTACCTATGTTGACTCTTAATTTAGAACAAAATCATCAGATTTTCTTCTCCAATTACTAAATGTTTTCTCTATTTCTTTCCTTGTTCACCTTTTATCTATTTATTTTAGAAGAGCAGGAATGCATTGCATTACTTATGTAGACATGTAATCTGATTCGACTTCACAGCTTACCCTCACACGTAGGCCCAGTCCAGCCATCATTACAGATACAAGTAAAGGTGCTGTCTCCATCAATGCAAACTCCTTCATTCACACAAGGATTGCCAAAACATTCGTCGGTATCTGAGCAAATTGAGTTCCAAAGACAATGCATGGATTATAAGTATCGAGAAAATAATTTCCATTTTGACAGATTTATCTTTAAATGGCGGATAACAGGAACGTGAAATAAAAACTGATTTTTTTTAAATCAAAATAATGACAGTGAAGGAATACCTCACTTCATATATCAAAACCACTATCAACTATATCAAATGAGGTAAATTAATTGAATGCCTCAGCTAATATCCGTATATATTTCAAAATCGTAGCCTGAGATAGAAAATTTCTTCTGGTTAAAATCACATTTCCAAATAAAGGTTTATGTGCCCCTGCAAGAAAAAATGGAAAGGAAAGCATACACTCTTTCATTTGGGATGAGAAAATAATGTCAAATGCAAGGTCAAAGTTTGAAGACACCTAAGGGACAAACGTTTAATCTCTATGATTGGGATGAAATATGCTACTCTTAACCTGTCCTAAAACATATCTGAATTAAAAAAGATCGTTGTGGGAATCAATTTATAAACGCTGCTCTTTAAATGACCATGGACTCCTGCTCCCCATGTGTCTACTCGAAATCAAAAGAAGTGTGGTTTCTCTCATTACAGTTCCAAAATGTAAGACACCCTCGCTTCTTTTGCGTGTACTTTTACTTATGTTGACTCTTGATTTAGAACAAAATTATAAGATTTTCTTCTCCAATTACTAAATGTTTTCTCTATTTCTTTCCTTGTTCACCTTTTATCTATTTATTTTAGAAGAGCAGGAATGCATTGCTTTACTTATGTAGACATGTAATTTGATTCGACTTCACAGCTTACCCTCACACGTAGGCCCAGTCCAGCCATCATCACAGATACAAGTAAAGGTGCTGTCTCCACCAATGCAAACTCCATTCACACAAGGAGTGAAAAAACAATCGTCGGTTTCTGTGCAAATTGAGTTCCAAAGACAATAAATGGATTATAAGTGACGAGAAGATAATTTCCATTTTGACAGATTCATTTTTATTTGGCTGATAACAGGAAAATTAAGTCAAAACTGATATTTAAATTTAAACAAATGACAGTGAAGGAATACTTTACTAATTGTTTTTACTTAAAAAATGAAAAACACTAATAATGTTATCAAATGAGGTGAATTAACTGAATGCCTCAGCTAATATTCGTATTTTTTTTCAAAATCGCTCACATTTCCTAATAAACGTTTATGTGCCCTTGCAAGAAAAAATGGAAAGGAAAGCATAACATTTTTCATTTGGGATATGAAAAGAATGTCCTATGCAAGGTCAAAGTTTGAAGACACCTAAGGGACAAACATTTAATCTCTATGATTGGGATGAAATATGCTACTCTTAACCTATCCTAAAACATATCTGAATTAAAAAAGATCGTTGGGGGAGTCAATTTATAAACGTTGCTCTTTAAATGGCCATGGACTCCTGCTCCCCATGTGTCTACTCGAAATCAAAAGAAGTGTGGTTTCTCTCATTACAGTTCCAAAATGTAAGACACCCTCGCTTCTTTTGCGTGTACTTTTACCTATGTTGACTCTTAATTTAGAACAAAATCATCAGATTTTCTTCTCCAATTACTAAATGTTTTCTCTATTTCTTTCCTTGTTCACCTTTTATCTATTTATTTTAGAAGAGCAGGAATGCATTGCATTACTTATGTAGACATGTAATCTGATTCGACTTCACAGCTTACCCTCACACGTAGGCCCAGTCCAGCCATCATTACAGATACAAGTAAAGGTGCTGTCTCCATCAATGCAAACTCCTTCATTCACACAAGGATTGCCAAAACATTCGTCGGTATCTGAGCAAATTGAGTTCCAAAGACAATGCATGGATTATAAGTATCGAGAAAATAATTTCCATTTTGACAGATTTATCTTTAAATGGCGGATAACAGGAACGTGAAATAAAAACTGATTTTTTTTAAATCAAAATAATGACAGTGAAGGAATACCTCACTTCATATATCAAAACCACTATCAACTATATCAAATGAGGTAAATTAATTGAATGCCTCAGCTAATATCCGTATATATTTCAAAATCGTAGCCTGAGATAGAAAATTTCTTCTGGTTAAAATCACATTTCCAAATAAAGGTTTATGTACCCCTGCAAGAAAAAATGGAAAGGAAAGCATACACTCTTTCATTTGGGATGAGAAAATAATGTCAAATGCAAGGTCAAAGTTTGAAGACACCTAAGGGACAAACGTTAAATCTCTATGATTGGGATGAAATATGCTACTTTCAACCTATCCTAAAACATATCTGAATTAAAAAAGATCGTTGTGAGAGTCAATTTATAAACGTTGCTCTTTAAATGGCCATGGACTCCTGCTCCCCATGTGTCTACTCGAAATCAAAGGAAGTGTGGTTTCTCTCATTACAGTTCCAAAATGTAAGACACCCTCGCTTCTTTTGCGTGTACTTTTACCTATGTTGACTCTTAATTTAGAACAAAATCATCAGATTTTCTTCTCCAATTACTAAATGTTTTCTCTATTTCTTTCCTTGTTCACCTTTTATCTATTTATTTTAGAAGAGCAGGAATGCATTGCATTACTTATGTAGACATGTAATCTGATTCGACTTCACAGCTTACCCTCACACGTAGGCCCAGTCCAGCCATCATTACAGATACAAGTAAAGGTGTTGTCTCCATCAATGCAAACTCCTTCATTCACACAAGGATTGCCAAAACATTCGTCGGTATCTGAGCAAATTGAGTTCCAAAGACAATGAATGGATTATAAGTATCGAGAAAATAATTTCCATTTTGACAGATTTATCTTTATATGGCGGATAACAGGAACATGAAATAAAAATGACAGTGAAGGAATACCTCACTTCATATATAAAAACCACTATCAACTATATCAAATGAGGTAAATTAATTGAATGCCTCAGCTAATATCCGTATATATTTCAAAATCGTAGCCTGAGATAGAAAATTTCTTCTGGTTAAAATCACATTTCCAAATAAACGTTTATGTGCCCCTGCAAGAAAAAATTGAAAGGAAAGCATAACATTTTTTATTGGGGTTGAGAAAAGAATGTCCTATGCAAGGTCAAAGTTTGAAGACACCTAAGAGACAAACGTTTAACCTCTATGATTGGGATGAAATATGATACTCTTAACCTATCCTAAAACATATCTGAATTAAAAAAAGATCGTTGTGGGAATCAAAATATAAACGTTGCTCTTTAAATGACCATGGACTCCTGCTTCCCATGTGTCTACTCGAAATCCCTCTCGAAAAAGTGCCCCTTCTCATCTTAATAATTACCCCCTTTTTAACTTGGATAAGCGCACCTTATATTTACACATGTGCCGCCTTTCCTTTTTAATAAGTGCCCCTTTTCCTTATGATAAGAGCCCCCATTTAAAAAGAGCCCCTTAACCTTCTCATAAATGCCCCCGGCCTTTTCATCTATGAAAATAGTGCATTTTTATTCTAATAAATGCCCCTTTTCATCTCTTGTATTAAAATGACCCTATTCATTTCCGAGAGATACTCGTTTTATTTGACAAGTGCCCCTTCCCCTCCTGATAAGTGCTCTTTTCGTCTCTTATAAATGCCCCTTTTGTTTTGACACGTTTCCCTTTTCCTTCCTAATTAATGCTCTTTTTCCTTCTTATAAGTGCCCCTTCCCCTTCCCATAATTACCTCTTTTCATCTTTGATAAGTGTCACATTTCCAAATAAACGTTTATGTGCCCTTGCAAGAAAAAATGGAAAGGAAAGCATAACATTTTTCATTTGGGATATGAAAAGAATGTCCTATGCAAGGTCAAAGTTTGAAGACACCTAAGAGATAAAAGTTTAATCTCTATGATTGGGATAAAATATGCTACTCATAACTTACCCTAAAACATATCTGAATTAAAAAAGATATTTTTTTTTAAAGAATTTATTTCACATATTTATTCAGATTAAAAACTGGTCTTCCATAAGGCCCTGTCTCAAAAAAAAAAAATATATATACCAATTCTCCAAACAAAATCATACATATAACAGTAGGAAGAAAAAGACAACAAATTGAATAAATAAAGCATATTAAAATGAAAGCACAATGATAAACAAGTAAAACTAACAATGTGAAATAAGATACGATAAAAAAACAAATACCTGATCTTTCATGTTGCCTTGCTTTGTAAAAATACAAATAGATATTCAAAATGTTTACATATTTAATAAAGTGAGAGAAAAAAATAAGAGAATAACATCAAATACGACAACAAATATATATAGTAAAGGTAAGACCATATCAAAGGTAAATAATGATACAATATAAGAAGTTAAAATGACCTTTTTTTTAAAAAAAACAGGAAGTGAGACACCGCTCATATAATATTGTAAAAGGGCAAGAAAGGTCAGATTTTACTATGTTTTGCAAGAAAGAGGATTCATGATGAAATTGACAGAGAACCTATAAATCTCCCAGATCCAATTTAGTAGATACATCGATGTGGGAATCACAATATAAACGCCGCTCTTTTGACCATGGACTCCTGCTCTCTATGTGTCTACTCGAATTCCAAAGAAGTGTACTTTCTCTCATTACGGCTTTAAAATGTAAGACACCCTCGTTTCTTTTGCCTGTACTTTTAGTTTTGTTGACTCTCAGTTAAAAACAACATTCTAAGATTTTCCTTTCCAATTACTAGATGTCTCTCCATTTCTTTCCTTGTTCACCTTTTATCTATTTTTTTTTTGGAGAGAAAGGAGGCATGCAATACTTAAAAACTGTATAAATGTATGTAGGCATGTAATCTGATTCGACTTTATAGCTTACCCTCACATGTAGTCCCAATCCAGCCACCAGCACAAGCACAAGTAAATGCGTCAACTCCATCAGTACAGTTTCCTCCATTCAAACACGGATCGGGAAAACAATCATCGATATCTGTGCAAATTGAATTCCAAAGACAATGAATGGAGTTTAAGTGACGAGAATTTTTTTTCCATCTTGACAGATTCAATTTTTATTTGGTAGGTAACAGGAAAATTAAGTAAAAACTGATATTTAAATGCATACTAATAACAGTTATGGAATGAAAACTCATTTATACAAGTATTGATAAATCAATCAAATGAAGCAACTAAAAAAATGTATTTGTCGTTTTGATATTCGAATTTATTAGAAAAAGTTGGCTTTAGAAAAAAAAAATCTCAGAAATATCTGGAAGAAGAAGAAGAAAAAACAGTAATATTCTTATTAGCAAATTCGTATTTAACAAAATATAAAGAATCCCGATAGCATTAAATGTACGATACCATATATTATTCATACCTGTATTACACAAAGCTCCATTGAATCCCGCAGCACATGTACATGCATCGGTATCACAGGTACCTCCGTTCAGACATGGGTTGGCACCAGAACAGTCAACTACAGAGAGGAAAGAAAATATCGTAACATTGAGAACGATCTTTTCATTCATCGTTCTCGACCGCGCCGTTCCAAAAGCTTAGAATTTTGGAATGGTGTACTGTACTTAAGATTGTCAAATTAGAAAGTAGGTAGACATTTTCACCGTTTGTTTTTCCTCTCTTCTTCTCTTTGGTCTTAAATTAAATTTTTCTTTCTTCTCTGTTCTCTTCTTCCGTATTAACTCTCTCTGGCCCCAACCCCCTTTTGTAGGCCGCCATAAAGGGGCGGCGGGGCCGATCTGGGTTCACTGGATCAGCCAGTGATAATGATTTACAGTGTATATTCCTACCTCTGCCACACAAAGATCCAGTAAATCCCGCAGCACATGTACAAGCATTGGTCTGACCGGTACCTTATAATATTGTTTGTTTATTATAGTCAGGTTTATGATGATTATTTTATATTAATCTGCATTATTTAATTCGGTTATCGCATATTTTGTATTGTAAATATCAATGATTTTATATATGGGTTGTAACAGCTGTCAACAACAAAAATAGGATATTCCAAAAACAATGATGAAGTTCTTTGAAAGGAAGAAAACAACTTCTGGTAAAGACTTTCAGAGTATTAAAGGTACTATGTCCCATTTGCAGGCCAAAAAAAATGAAAAAGTTAAATTCCAACTGCATTTGAAAGATAATACTAATTTAGAACTTCCCTAAAAAAGGTGGGGCTTGAAAATGTCTTCGAGTGGGAAAATAACGACTATATGTTGTCAAATCGACTTTAGGGCTATAGAGCCCAAAAGTAATAGTCTTGATTTTCAGACAATTGTACCGAATGGTCATACGTTTTATGCTGCGCAAAGATTCAATCGGTTTAATCTTGGCCATCACAATAAGTGGGTTATTGATGTAGACAAATGCTCATGTACCCTTTACAACTCTTTTCATGTGTGTTATTACCAAAGAAGAAAAAAAGCCTGTCAGTCACTCAATAGTGTCTGACAGTAAAGTCTAGCAAGTAAACTGGTTTCCTTGCATAATTTGAATATGAGGACACTGCTAACGTTTAAATTTCACAGATAGGACATACATGACATATTCATAATTCCTGCAAAGTTCTACAAAATTTGAGGTTGGCTGCAAAAGGGACATAGTACCTTTAATATAAAATAGGAGGCTGGTCAAACGTCACAGTCGTAGTGACCCAGAACAGTCAACTACAGAGAGAAGAGAAAATATCAGACATTTCCTAGAATAGTTTTTATTAATATAGGTTTGTTTAAACTATTTTATCTGTCTAAATTGGTAAGATCATAGCCCAAAGGAATTGCTCGAATCCTGCCGTGTGACAATTAGCCCTTAGTTTTCTTTAGTGACCAAAGATCTTATATATATATATATATATGTACAATACTTTAATACGAATAATTAACACTGAAATGTTTAGGTAGTACAAGTTAAATCGTAAAAGATCTTACTAGCAACACCGCACAAAGCTCCAGTATAACCCGAAGCACATGTACATGCATCGGTATCACAGGTACCTCCGTTCTGACATGGGTTGGCACCAGAGCAGTCAACTACAGAGAGGAAAGAAAATATCCTCAAATTGAGAACGATCTTTACATTCATCGTTCTCGACCAAGCCATTTCAACAAGCTTAGAACTTCAAGAATGGTGTAATTAAGATTGTCAAATTAGAAAGTAGGTAGACGTTTTCACCGTTTTTATGGATATCTCAAGAGGGGGAGGGGACAAGTTAAAATAAACATCATGAAATGTATTAAGAGTCACAGTATGGGTTTGATTTATGATATTAAATCTTGTCATTATTTAGTAAAAATTAATATTCTTTAAAGAAAATTATTATTTGACAAAATATGAAGAATCCCGATATTACTTAATAATGCATGATATATTATATTGTGCCTTCTCATGCTTATTTCCTTTCTAATACTCATTTTGTCTTTCCTCATCTTCTTGACAACCCCACATGCAGCTCATCATTTTGTATTATTTTCTGTACCCCCGATCTCTCATTTCTTTTTTGGGCATTGTCTACTCTTTGTATTATGATCGTGTTCTTTTACCCTTGTCATGTAATGTACTGTCTTGTCCCGTTTTCTCCTCTCTGTTGGCATCCCCCCTTTTCCCTATTTTGTAGTTCCTTTTAATTCAAGTACTCATTGTTCTTAAGTATTATTTGAGGTGTTCACACTTGTACAAGCATTGATTTTTAGTAGATCCCTTTGTTTCCAATATTTATTTCTACATTTGCTATAAGTGTTTATAATTGATTTGTAATCTTTTGTGGGAAAACACACTCCAAGAAGTCCTTAACCACCTGCAAGACTGGGCAACCAAGTGGTAGATGTCTTTCAACCCAAGCAAGTGTGAAGTCCTCAGATTGACCAACAAGGTGACAAATTTCATTCGTTTACCTTACTCCACGGAGTTGAGCTTCCAACAGTAGACAATGCCAAATACCTTGGAGTACACATCAACTCCAAGCTAAGCTGGAAGACACATGTAGACAACACATGCAAGAAGACCAACAGTACAGTACACAAGGATTCCTCCTGAGAAATCTGCATGGCTGCCCCAAGAAAATCAAGGAACAAGCGTTCATGACATGTGCACGTCCCATCCTTGACTATGCCTCAACAGCTTGGGACCCTCACTGCCAAGACCAAATTCGAAAACTCGTAATGATTCGGAGGCGAGCTGCTCGGTTCACTCTAAGAGACTATCACCCAAGACACATTGTAACCGAAATGCTCCACTTGCTAAAATGGCAGTCTCTCCCCAAAAGAAGAGCTCACCTGAAAGATACCATGCTATATCTTATCTTGCATGGATTGATTGCCATTCCTCCTGAACCACCCTACATCTACCCAGTATTACGATCATCTGGAAGACGACCAGCTCAATACCGACAGCAACTATGCAGGACCTCTGGTTATCAAAACTCCTTCTTCCTCAGTGTCATCTGCTTATGAAACCAGCTTCCTTTCACTGTGACAGCAGCTTTTTTTTTGCTGGTACAGTATAAGAGGCAGCTGGTTGGGGTTACACTGCGTCAGAACTAGTTGGTGAAGGAGCTATTTTTACTTGCACAATAAGCACTTTTTGTTATTCTAAAACCGTTTAGGACCTATTGTTTTTATTTTATCAACGTTGCCCGCAAAGAATGATATTTAATAGAATAGCACCGTTTGCATAGGCATACCGTGGGCAATGTCCCTTGAGGACCCAATTTTCCCCGTTAGCGTAAAACCGATACTTTGGGGGTGATACTGGAAAGTCATTCCTGAACATACTTGTACTTACGGTTATAAATAGAGATTCTGCTAAAGCCCCCACATATTGTAGTGTTATCACCCGCACATGTGTAGCTACAGTCACTGTCTTCTACCTGTCCAAGTCGACTGTAGTTTGTACCAGCGACCCCACAGAAGCAATAAGTCGCAAACTCTACTCCAGCGTAAGCAAATTCATTTGATCTTTTGCAGTGTTCAATGCATAGCTCGATTGTCATGTAATCAGATGTCAATACGTTATCTGGTAGGACCCGGTTTCCACCAAGATCTACGAAGCATCCGACATAGAGTTCATCTAAACGATTATAAAATAACAGAATGGAACTTTAGTTAGTTATTATATAGGGTTGATGATTAATACGGTTTGCTACTTTTTCTCTATTTTTTTTAATTTCTGTATGGTTATCTTCTTTCTGTTTTCTGTTTTGATGTATGAACGTTACAAAAATGCGTGGTAACTTACAATAATTGAATGATAAGAATACGCATGCTCACTGCATTTCCTATAGAATAAAATCAAACAAACGGACCTAAAGAAGAATTGGCATATTGTTGGATAATTTGTTTGAGGTAAAAACATTTTATTTTATATTATTTTCTGTACCCCAGATCTCTCACTTCTTTTTTGGCATTGTCTACTCTTTGTATTATGACCGTGTTCTTCTTTCCTTGTCATAAAAAGTACTGTCTTGTCCCGTTTTCGTCTCTGTTGGCATCCCCCTTTTCCCCTATTTTGTAGTTCCTTTTGTAGTTATGGACTTGTCAATTCAATTACTCATTATTCTTAAGTATCATTTGAGGTGTTCACACGTACAAGCATTGTTTTTAGTGGACCCCTTTGTTTCTAATATGTATTTCTACATTTGCTATAAGTGTTTATAATTGATTCGTAATCTTTTGTTGGAAATCGAAATTGAAAATGATACTATCCATTTTTCATACCTGTATTACACAAAGCTCCATTTAATCCCACAACGCATGTACATGCATCGGTATCACAGGTCTCTCCGTTCAAACATGGGTTGGCACCAAAACAGTCAACTACAGAGAGGAAAGAAAATATCCTAAAATTGAGAACGGTCTTTACGTTCGTCGTTCTCGACCGAGCCGTTCCAAAAGCTTAGAATTTTTGAATGGCGTACTTAACATTGTCAAATTAGAAAGTAGGTAGATATTTTCCCCGTTTATATTGATATCTCAGGAGAAAGGGGGAGGAATAAGTTACAATAACAATCTTGAAATGTAATTTGGTTATTTTCTACCAACCATGTAGTTACCAATGAAATAATCGGGTAATATTATTGGGCACATTAGAGCTGGGCCATTTTTGTCCAACATTTGGGTTATTTTCTCCAACCATTTACTACATGTATTTACCCAATTAATTGTTCAAAATAAGTTGGGCAGATTTTACTGGGCAAACGTACGTCGGGCAACATTATTATCCAACAATAGGGTTGTATTTTTGTACTAGAGGTGTCTTGGTCGATTGGATATGCCACAGAACTATGGAATACGAGGTCCAAGGTTCGAGTCACACCGCAGCACTAATCTCCTTATGCATATAATATTTTGTGCAACTTATTTTCCCAACTAGTGTGTAACTTATGCTGCACATTATGGTGAGAATTGGGTGAATTTCTGATTGGGTAAATTTGTGTTGATTAAAAGTTGGCTATTTTCGTTTTATCCAACACTGGGTAGATTATGCAAAATCTTTAACTTACCCACATAATCGCCCTCATGTTGGGTTAAAATTGGGCAGTTTTTTGCCCAATATTTTTAGAGTGGTATATCTCTTCAAATCTACGAGACCATATCATGATTGGCATAGCCTTACCTTCACAAGATGGGAGTACGAATACTGGAGTATATATGCTGCAGAAAAAAAAATCATCTCCGATCAGTCTGTATCCAGCTTCACACGTATAACTGCAAACCGTATTAGACGTAATTACACTTCCAGGCAGACATTCACTCATCGGCGTAAGTAACTCGGCTGGGAAAGCTGGCACCAAGCATTCTTAACGTTTGAAAACAAAAACAAAACAAATAGGATATTATTAAGGTCACATGAGGAAAAACTAATAGTTAGAAGGTAATCCCATATGTCCACGTGTCATTTATGGATATCCGATATATTCATGATTTGTAAAAGTTTTTTCATTTAACGAAAGGGATCATGAAATTGATTTTTATGTAATGGATTTAAGTCACGATTTAAAAAAAAAGTGCTCTGTCCTTACTAACAATTAACAGATCTGATGGCCAAGGACCTTAGGCCGTACACTTTAAGCCAAGTTATTCCTTTAAAAAATTGTGTCAGCGTACGCGTAGAGGTCGAGTGTGGCTTCCAGTATGGGGGCATAATAAATCAGTGGTAGACATAATGTCATATCATCCCCCACACCACCCCAACCCCCACCCCTCCCCCACACACCCAACCCTCCCCCTCCCCCTACCACTTGATCCCCTCGATTATGCTGGTACTGAAGAGCGAGATACATCTTTTTGCTCCCCCTGGTATTCAAATACGACAGTACACTTACCTATGCCTTCAGAAGGGTCGTCTATTTCCAGACAAGTCGCTTCATCATTATTAGTAGTACATATTTGGTGGTATTGCCACCATTCAGAGCCGTTACTTGTACACTCATTCATCCTATTGCAGCTGTATGGCAGAAAAGAAATATACCAACAAAATTTGATAGAGTTTGTGTATTTAAGTCAATGCAAGATGTTCTAATGTTATATTTGAAAAGTTCAAAATCAAACAGCCCCCACCCCTCCTCTCATAGTGCTTCCTTTGATTAAAGTGAACAAGAAAGAAGGAAAAAAGTCAGTGAAACAGTGTTTTATATTTATGTATCATTATATCTTTCCATTTTTCCATAATCATAGAGAAAATTGATTGCGATTTATGCCTTTATATTTATTTTTTGTTTCACTCTGAACTATACTATAATTTAGTAATTATTCTCACTGGAGTTCTGCATTTCCAATCGCTGGAACTTCTACGTTGGAGGGATTGTTTTTATAAAATAATACACGAACATTGCACTTACCTTTGCTCTAATGTACACCAGCCACAGAAGGGATCCCCACCATCGTGGTTTAGACCAATGCAACCAGCAAATGTCTTGTATTGGCTACAATTGACGACAGCCAGTTTCAGTACCTGAAATTTAATGAGAAGATGATAATCAGTGATTTTATTTGGAAACAAATCATTGTTAGTATTATTATTAGAAATACAATTATTATTAGTAGTAGTATTGTCATTATTATTATTATTCTCATCATTTGATCATCATTATAATTATTATTATCATTATCATCATATTTGTTTTTGTTCTTGTTATAAGTGTTAATATTACTATTACTAATTATTATTATTACTATCATCATTATTATCATCATCATCATTATGAATCTTGACAAAAACCGAACGTTCGGTAAAAACAAAAGAGTAACCCAATCAAGATTCATGTGAATAAAGCATATTATACCTCCTTCGTGGTAAGAGTGAAGAGTTCTTCTGTTTCTTGGTTGATGTATACGTCAGTCAGCACACTCCCTATCACTTCCAAGTCCACGGTTTCGTATAATCTTCCAGTATGATCAGGAAATACATGGATCTAAAATATATGTAACCGCGATAAAAAGATAAATCAATAAATAACTCTTTTAACTTGGTTAATGGTCGTATTCATTCATATACAGTTGAAATTACAATAACAGGTGCAATTTCTTGCATAGGTTCATCCACATTTACATCAAACAATTTTGGAATTACCCTACCCCCCCCCCCCCCCTCCTCCTTCATTCTCACAAAAAGATTATTATTTATATAATCGTGCATTACGAAAAGCTTAGACTAGTATTCTTATTATGCAAGTTATTTTTGTTTATGATTATGTTGTTCTACATATCACATATAGTATGTATAGGAGATGTTAAGCATCTATCTACTTTCAATTTTCTTAACATAAAATCGTAACATTTCAACATTTTTACTAATTGTATTATCTACTATTATGTAATCATGTTTTCAATTAAAATACTTATCTATGTAGTCAAACAAATAAAATGATATATACTACCTTGCTGAGAGTAGTATTTGAAGTTGATGTAGTGGTAACCAAGGCAACAGTTGTATTTTCTTTCTGTAATGTGACGATGGATGAATCTTCCCCCGGTAGAGCTTCTCCAAGTAGGTTTCCCTCCAAGGAGCTAGTAGCCTGTGCATAACTGAATTCCAGCATTTGATTGTCATCCCCGCACTGATAGTTTGCCTCAATAGATTCCCTCGACTGGTTAGTCTATCAATGAATGATAATTGAACTTCAGAATGAATTGGGGTTGGGGTGGTCAGTTGAACAAAATTTCCGTTTATATTTATTCTGTAATGATTTTTCAAACTATATATGTTTTGATCATTTTGGATCTGAGACAAAGACTCTGTACATAAAGCCCTCTTAAAACATACCGAGATCCTAGTATAGTGGTATAAGAACTAAATGTCACGATCAATAAGAATAATATAACAGATTTTCAAGGTGCTAAATCCACTTGAAATCGAATACTAGAGACGCAAAATAACATGATTACGAAAATCTAAGACTATTATTTTTCTTTTTGTAAAGATTACACATACAAGCTAAACAACAGGTGCTTTTCTTTTACTTTCTTGAAATATTAACTTAGTATAGCAATTGTTGCTATTTTCTAGTATATTTCCTTTTTACCACATCCTTCTGAAAGGATACAAAAATGGGTAAGTGGTAACAATGCCAGCTGCTAGTATACAATATCATTATTAATATTCTTTGACATTATTATTATTATTATTATCATTATTATATATATATATATATATATATGTATATATATATATATATATATATATATATATATATATATATATATACATATACACATACATATATATATATATATATATATATATATATCCTCTTTTCCTTTCTTTCTTAATGACCAGTCACTCCTTCCCTTTTATATTAAACTCAGGGCTGCAAGCTTACCAATCAGCTTATTCATATCGATTATGCATTAAGTGTGTAACATGTAGGCATGGACTACAGTATAATAAAAAGAAGGGGCAAGGTCAACAAATTTAAGTCGCAAAATGCGCTGCTCTTGTTTAACTGTGCATTCAAATTGCTCGATTGCCCGAGCCTTTTCAGCAGTTGTTAACAAAAGCATTATGTTTCAAACAATTAATGACCAAACAGTAGTGAATCTTGCCTGATATAGCGCCATTCTCTTTTAATACAAAAATCACAGTTCAATTTGTCAAAGAAAGGAGAGTCTTCTGCCTAACAATATTAAGTGCTAACCAGTTCATTTCACAACTTGTTACTTTTGATCTTGCCCGTTATTCTGATGTACTGTTCACCCCATGGTATTATTTTGAAGACAATGAACGTTCTTTCTAATGATAATAATCAAAGCGATGAGTTTTTCATGGTAAGAGAGCTATAATTGATTTTTGGATTTTTGTATAATATGGATGTATACTAACGTTGGGACTTGGGGAACAGATTGCATCCGTCGTCAGGTAGGATATTGCTGTTCCACTACAGCTTGGATCATCGCTTATCACACAGCCACATGTAGTATCAACGAACCTCTCCTGTATGTCAGTCATGGCGTAGGAACACAGCGCCGAATGAGTTCCATCTGTGAAAACCCCATACAGCACATCATTGGAATCGATGTATGCTGATTGTAGGATACTGTACGACTGACAAGATAAAATGATTTCGGAGTAAGCGTTTAGACCATCTTGAAGATTTTCAGAACAGAGTCTACCCAGCCGTCTATGCTCTGATCCACTGTGTACAATGAAGAAGTTGTAAATCGTCCACGGAATTGCTTGAATATATTCCACTGTAGAATCGATTGCTGCTATTTCTCTAATGTTTTCGATTCTGATTGGAACCAAAATATTTAGTTGCTGTATTACTTCAAATTGTGTGATTGGTGAATGAACACGTCCAGGATTG